TGATTGTCTGTGAGATGTACCTAATCAGCGTGTGCCAGGGCCGCCGTAAGGATGAGGTCACACTCATCTGGGGTGAGTGTGGAGGACAGAATCACATAGGTATCTTGCCAGGTGAAGTTGTAAGCCTGGGTGAGATAGCGAAATTCTTTGGTGTAAGCAGTAGGATTGGTGGAAAATGAACCTAGGTGCTTCTCAATGGCTGATAGGTCAGAGAGGGAGAAGGGAACATGTACTCAAACAACGCCTTCCGCTCTGGTGACGTCACGAAGGAGGCAAAGGAGGGAGGTTTCATTGTTAGGAGCTCAGCACACTCAGGTGTGAGCCCTGACAGGAGAGGCTAGGTTGGGACCAGGAAGAGGATGGGCTGGAGGTGGTTGAGGGTCTGCATAGGGTGGAAGATGAGTGGGTCAGGTGGGTGGAAAGCATAGTTTTTCGGGTAGGTTGGGGTTCAAAAAGGAGGAGGATGGTGGAGGGGCCGAGGGCTGTGAGCATGTTTCTTTGGCCAGGAGCACCTAAGCAGTGGTGCAAGAGGAACAGGGTGGGACGGGAGTGAAGATACCAGAAGGCCTGAATGTAGGGGACCTCTGACCATTTACCATTTATTTGACAGAAATTGTCTAAATTGGTTGGAATGCCAAGATTGATTGGAATGCCAAAATGGCCTTCAGTGGCCGCTTGCTTGGACTGGTTGTCCAGAAGATACTGGGGCCAGACCACGGTGGAGAGGAAAAGCAGTCTTTTCTTTTTTATGGAGAGGCCCAGCTTGGGTAAATTTTGGACTAGACATCCCAATGGCGACTTGAGGTCTAGGTGGGACTCCTGATTACCCATAGTCCACTCTCTGCTGCAGAGTAGCCAGGAGTGAGGAACGGCATCCCGGACATCAACACTTGAGTACCTGAGATTACGGGGAAGGACAGGAGTATAGGGGCAACTCCACAATATTCCCGTCTTCTGGGATGGGCGAGTCGGGGCACCGGGATGTCTCCACGAGACCCACAGCTCAAGACAAATAGAGTCCCTGATGCAGCCGTGATTATGGACAGGGCACCCCAAGGTTTGGAGCAAACAGAGGATGGAGTTATGGGCAATAGGAGTCTTACTGAGTGATGGCTGCAGACGATCGGAGGGGTGGCGGTTCCCTGGTTTGGCTTATGGTAGAGGAGTCAGTTTCCCCCAGGAGGGGGCTTGAACTCCTCCCAGGTTTTGGCACCACTTGTAAGGGTTATTGCTGAGTTTAAAATGAAGAAACTGAGGCCAGTATAAAAAATTAAATGTCAAGCCAGGCGCAGTGGCTCAAGCCTGTAATCCCAGCACTTTGGGAGGCTGAGGCGGGTGGATCACGAGGTCAGGAGATCGAGACCATCCTGGTCAACAAGGTGAAACCCCATCTCTACTAAAAATACAAAAAATTAGCTGGGCATGGTGGCGCATGCCTGTAATCCCAGCTACGCAGGAGGCTGAGGCAGGAGAATTGCCTGAACTCAGGAGGCGGAGGTTGCAGTGAGCCGAGATCGTGCCATTGCACTCCAGCCTGGGTAACAAGAGCAAAACTCCGTCTCAAAAAAAACAACAAAAAAAAATTAAATGTCAGTTTATTTAGCTCCCGGGCGAGGTTCTATGGTCCGGGGAAAGAGAGCCAGAGAAGTCGCGCTGACTTCCTGGGGTGTGGGGTTTTTGTGGCTATGAACAATGAGCAAGAGCAGGGCACTCTGATTGGCTCTGGGGGAGTGGGATTGGACAGCTATTGGGTGGCAGGCTGTCGGGCGGGTTTTTTGGTGTAAGATTTGGTTAGGGTTGCATCAGTCAGAATTCCCGACTGGAGGGCTGGGTACACAACTGGGTGCTGAGTGCAGAGCTGGGTGGCTGTCCGCGCTCCTGATGAGGCATCTGGCCTTACATATGGAAACTGGTCAGGGTGTCTAGGAGTTCCTGCAATCATTTTCCATACAGCCTGGGTAATTTATTTATTTATTTTTTGAGTTGTAGGTCCCAGTGTTAGGCTCTCCAACTCCAAAAGATGGCCATTCTAGTTCACACAAACAGCAGAGTTTTCCAGGGGGTTAATTTGACCCCATAATGGCCTGAAAACCCAACCTTGAAGTTGGCCATCATGCATTGGAGCGGGGTACAAGGCCGGGAGCTAGATGATCCCATTTGGGTTTTCCTTTAGCTTTTGAATTTCCCCCAAGCGATTTCACTGATTTCACTAATTTAATACTGGCTTCACTGAGGATTTGAACCAACAACCTTGCAGTTGCAGGTCCTATACCTTAACTACTGTGCTAACAGGTCACTTGCATTACAAAGAGTTAGAAAGCTTTTTTAAAGCCATATTTTGGATGCAAATACTGCACCCTGAGGCAGTGTGGCCTGCCTGAAAGACAGGCAGGGCTGGAGGCCGGCAAAGAAAAAATTGCTTTTTGTGTCAGTTTAAAACTGAGCTCGCAGCTACTGGGCCAGCTGCGAGTTCCCAGCCCCTGCAGCTTTTGGTCGCCTTGGCACAGGAACCCTAAAAAGCATTAAATTATTCCCTCCCTATCTCTCTCTTTTCACTTTTTTTATTTCTTTTCTCTTTGTCTCTGTCTCCTCTCCTCTCTCTCTCGCTCTTTGTTTCCTCTCTCCTTTTTCCTCTCTCCTCTGTTCTCTGTCTACTGTTTTCTCTTTTTTTGTTTTCTTTCTCTCTTTTTTCCGTCTCCTCTTCTTTTGTCTCCTCTGTCTTCTTTCCCTTTCTTACTTTCTTGTCCTTGCTCCTCTCTACTTTCTCTCTTTTGCTCTCTTTTTGGTTTACTCCCCCCCCCCCCCCTTACTTTTTTGTCTATTCTCTTTCCCTCCCTGTTTCTATTTCTTTTGACAGAAGAGACAATTACTCCTTTTTTACCTTAAATGGGCAAAGAGGGGTGGTAGTTTCTTATAAGTTTGATTTCCTAAAACAGAGAAAAAAGTTGTCAGGGGCAGAATTTTCTCTCGGACATGAAAAATGGGAAGAATGAGGCCTTAATGATAGAATAAGAAGAAAAGGAAAGGGAACAGAATTATTTCCAGGGGTGTAAGCTCAATTAGAGTTCCTTGAAGTCAATGGTCACTTAGCCAATGGAGAATATTATTTACCTCAAGAGTAACAGGTTTAAACCACTGTATATCAGCCAACAGGAGTCTAACAAAACGTGAATTTACAATAAAGATAGAACCACATATAGGATTGACAGACAAAGGATGGGTGCTCCCCAGATGGGAGACCAGTCTGATGCCTCATCTGATGCCCAGCCACATCCCCAGAGGGATGTTTCAGAGCATCTTGGCTAAGGTGTACCCGTATAAACTCCAGGCCTGGTCACCTTAGAATTTTCAGTTCTGAGATGAATCACCGTTATGCCTTATGATGTCCCCATGGAACCACAGGTGAAGACCCATACAAGCCCTGTAGCCTTCCAGCCATGGGACTACATATATACATATTCACTCTCTCACTCACACCAAGGTTATGGAAAACAACTGAAAACTAAATTACCCAAGCCTCTAGTGAGGTAACCTGAGCCTCCAGTGACATCTCACGGTAGGCTTGCCTGGTCAGAGTTGCAATGACCACTTCCGGTCCCCTGACTCAGGCCCCCCGATGGACTGGTCCCCAGACCTGACTTACCTCTGGAGGTTCCTGGGACCCTGAGGAATTCTGGGTGAATGTTGGCCAGGTAGTCGCTTATCCTCCATGGGGCCGGAACTCTGGGGCCCTGGAACTTCTCAGGGGGTGCCTCCCCTAGAGGTTCCTGAGGTGGGAGTGGCCACCCAGGCAAGACTCTGAGACGACTTTTGTCTGGTGATGGATGAAGATAAAAATCTTGCTGCGTTCTCCAAAATGTTGTAGTGGAACAAGCATAGAAAGTCAACACCAAGACAAAAGTATGCCAAATTACAGGGTCTTTATTGCCGGCGGTCATGGAGGACTCACGTCTCTCCAACCTGTGGCCCCGAAAGGAGGGTGTTAAGACTTTTTATAGCCGCACAACCACCTTGTGAGTGAGGGTGTGGGGCAGGGGTGGGGGTGAGCGGCTTCAGACATTCAGAGGGCTAGTAAATTCTGTAAATCACCTCCTGGGCAGAGATGAGGGTGAGGGGCTCCAGATATTCCAGTGGATTCCTGGGCAAAGGTGAGGGTGAGGGGCTCTGGACATTCTGAGGGCCAGGGGATTTTTGACATTCTGATTGTTACTTAAGCAGGTCACAAAAGTTAAGATAAGCATTTGTTTACACATTGTCTGGGTAGGGTGGAAATTACAAGTCACAGGGGCCAAGATGGCGTGCGTTTGGACTGCTTGCCTGTCACATTTGTGTTACAAAGAGCAGTTTCAACAGAAAGCCAAGGTATGGTTGAGGCTTGCAGGTTTATGAGGCTTTTTACTATGTCACAGTTCCCTAACTGATAGAATTAAAAGCAAAAACAAATGAAGAAAATCAGAAATAATGAAGCTCTGGGTATAAAATTGCTTAACCATTTCTTGGTATTTTTATTTGTTTTTTTCTTTCTTTTTTTTTTTGAATTTCTGCCCAGTTACAACAACGAAATGGGAAACCACAATTACAATTCACAAACCATGGCATGAAAAACAACACACACCCCATCAGGAATTACACCAAACCCTTTCCTTTTCATTCAAAAGAGTCCAATACACAAGTGTCAAATATGAACACTGTAATTTTTTTTCTTAGAAGGGGGGAAAACATTTATTTTGGCAGTGCATGGACAATTCCAGGAAGTGGTTTTGATACCACAAGTTGCAGGAATAGAAACCCTAACAAACTTGGAGGGCACTTGTTTGAGAGGCAGGGGACGCCTTGCTTGGAAAACAAACATCCCTCTTGTGCTTACTGAATCGCCTGTCCGCCTCAGCAGTCACCGGGTCTTTCTTCCCAGGTGTTGAAAGAAAAAACGGAATTTCTTGCATAGACAGCCGAAGATTCCTGTAGAGCAGAGTAATTTCTGTATCTCCAACCCTCCCACCCTGAAGCAAATTCTCAAGCTTCTCTGGAGCAGCTTTTGGTCACATGATCCTCTATCATGGTAAGCCTTTTGCTAAAATACATGTGACACCATGGTTTCCTCTGACACTGCTTCTCTAGGGTTCAGATGACAGCACAAAACATCACTTGTCAAAAATATCAGGTATTAAGAATACGGGTGTTTATGTTCATGATAACAGCAAATAATTTGCAGGTGTGTCACCCAAAGGAGCATTTTTGTCATTTAATATGGTCCCTGGGGAGTTAGCCCCAACATCATACAAATAAGCCTTTTTTTATATACTGGTCAAAGTTGGTTAATTTGACAGTTGAGGAACTGTCTCATGCCAATTAAAAAATTCTTACTGCCTAACTATTCAATGGTCCAGAAAGCAATTAAATGTTACCATTCCAGTTTTACACACACACACAGACGCGCACACGCACACAAGAACTGTGACAAAAGGACTAACCAGATTAATCTTGTGATTGTGTTCTCAAAGAAAATGAAATCTCAAACTGGAGGAGTCCTATTCAAGTACAAAAAAAATGCAAAAATAGTCTGATCCCATTTATTTTTAGGATCCTAAGAAATCATTCTCTGAACTGCAGGTTCTGGAGTCAGTGAAGTTAACTCCTGGGCCACAAAATATTCTACAAAAATTAGTTTGTGATTTCTAGCAGGGCAGCCACTTGCTCGTTGTTTTTTAAAAGAAATATGTTGAGACTTTGTATACTGTGGCCTTCTAGGAGTTAATACTTTACAAAAGAAGCGGGAGTAGTGAGTACTAGCAACTCATTCTTCTTGCCTGACACTGGCGAGCAGCAGTCAGTTTTATACATTTTCAATGAACACACAGAGGAGGTAAATGTAAACAGTCCGCTTTACATTCTCCAAACAACGTGTGGCTACTGTAGCATATGCTGTTTGGCCCCAGTAAAAAGTAAAATAGAGAGCAATTTGTTTGGTTTGCTTTTTAAGCTTTGCCTCGTGAAGATTTTTTTACAAAAGGGTTTTACTAGTTCTTGGCAGGAGACCATCCAATCAGAGGCTCTGAACTTATAAATAACCCGTGTGGGATTATACTCTCCAATGAGCATAACCAGAGCCTAAATTCACTACCTTAAGGTCTGACAGCCAGATGTGGAAGGTCTGCAAAGAGCTCTGCTAATAAGCAATACGTTTGCCAAGTGCTTGGCCAAATGAGGTCCTTATTAGGCAGGGCACTTTGTAAGATTCAGAACGGACTCCTGGTTATCTTAAGCCATTAACAGACTCAAGTTTTGCATGGACTTTTTGTGCTCTTTGGCCCCTAAGTATGCCCCATCTCTGCCCGGCACTAACAACACATGTGGAAAACAAAGGATTTCCCACCAGTGTGCCAGACGATTTACATAGGCAGGGGCCTTTATTGAAAAGAAGGGAAGGGACACGGTCTAAAATGCACATTTAAGGTTCTTTCTGATCACTGGCAATCTCTATGAACCAACACTTAATTGATGGGCTAATGGAGAGGTTTTTTTAATCTGAAGAGGATTACAGAATAAAGATAAAACAAAAAGTCTTATACTAAAATAAGAAATCAGCCCCATCTTGGCACAGTTCTCATGCAGAATATTGCACCCAGTGTGAACTAATGCTAGAAGCTTCAAACTGTATAAATTTAAATGTATTTGCATATTATAAAAATAAAGATAAACATATACATATTTTACACTAGTTACGGAACAGCAATGAACGTCAGTCGATCCCTCTTTCACATTTAACAACTGAAATCTGAGTGCTCTAAATACTGCCACCTGTATTGTAACTATGGCTTATATGTGCACGGAAAACAAAATCCCTGAGAAGCCATTCGACTTTTTTTTTTTTTTTTTCTTTTCTTCAAGTAGCTCGCTCCTTGGAGGATCACAGTTCTGAGGTTCAGGTTGTAAAACATTTGCTCCACGTTCTTGCCCACGCTTCCCCACCACCCCTCTCCACCCCTCTTCCCCAGTCTTTTGAAAAGCCCCCTGCAAGCACGCTTTGTCACTCAAGTTCACAGAACACACTCGGGGGGAGTGCAGAGGATATGTCAGGTGAAAAAGATGGTCCAGGTGTTTGAATGCTCTTTTCTCCATGGAAATTCCAGAGCCACAAAAGTCACTGGTTTCTGTGCTTTTCACCAACGTTCTTCCTGTATGGTTGGACAAGAAGAAAGCAGAGAAATGACAACAAGTGAGATGTCTGTCCACACTAAAAAGCATGATTTTACTTAAAATGTTCTAAGTGAGGTTGTCAATGAAAATCTGGAGTTTGATGACTATAGAATGAAAAAACTACTGCAGCCTTGGCAAATCAAGTGGCATCCAGTTCCGATAAAATGGTAAGTGGAAAAACTGTCAAATGTTTTTACAATGACATATGATGGGATGTTTTTACAATGATATATGATGGGATATTTTTGAAAGTGGTTTTTAAAACAAATTTTAATATACAAAGAAATTGAAAGGACAGGAAAAAGAAGTTATGATTTGTTTCCTCCAATCCGCCATCTCTTGTTAGGAGAGACTGTTTGATTTCATGGACACTGACAACTCAGTGTCTGCCTAAGACACTTCTCCAGTCCATACAAGATTTGGTCATGGACTCATTCAAGCATGGTACTAATGACATCACCAAAAAACAACAAGAACAAAAAAATCCCTTCCATTTACTAACTACATGCCAGGAATTAGGCTGTTCACTCTAGTGCATTATTTATCTTCAACCCCTAACAATCCCACCAAGTAAGCTCCATCTTACTCAACGTCTTACTAAGAAGGACACGAAGGTTCCAAAAGGTGAAATAACTTCCCCAAGGGTGCAAACTAGTGAGTGGCAGAGCCAGCCCTTCCACTAGGGTGATCTGACTCCACAGCATGCTTGAAAGCTAAAAGAGAAGTTGGATATTTGGAGCCCCAGGGAAGAGTTTCACATTTCTAAGGCACTCTGTATGAGAATTTTTTGAATGCCTATTAATACGGTAAACTCCTGAAAGAGATGGTTTTGAAAACTGCCTCAAATTCAACTAATAACATAATAAATCTAACTGTAAGGAGGATGGCAGTGTAAAAACAAACATCTCCATCAAGCAGTTAACTTTAGTGGTGTGAGTTTTGGGTTCACGTGGGAGATGTGTTACATAAACATTTTCCCATTGAATCTAACAAACCTTTCAAAATGCAGACAGTCGTGCGTGGCTGTCTGCTCCCCAGGCTACATGGAAGACTGAGAAACACAATACCTAATCCAGGGCACCTAGAGGGAATATCTCACTGTTCAACCAGTTTGAAAAGTTTTTCACATCTATACTATTTTCCACATTTGGGATCTTAGAGAAAACAACCATCAAAATCACCAACCTTCTCTGTTTCTCCCTACTTCTCTGTCTCAATGAACTTGTCCTCCTCCTTCAAGATCTACCTTCCTGGAACTTCTCCTGATTCTTCCTGATAGAGTTCTTTCTTCCCTGTGCTTACATGACTCTGTTCATGCACCTATCATGGCAGGTACTGCATTGCAATTATAATTATATTCTGACAAGTCTGTCTGGTTATGACTTTGATACTCATATTCCCCAAAGATGCTATTAGGTTCTGGAGGGCAGGATATGATCTAGTTCTTTATGTATTCTCAACACCCGGCCAATGCCTACCAGAGGATAATTACTCAACAAAGATTGGTTGAATGAATGATACATCAAATGTGACGAAAAAGTCACAGGTAAAAAGTAGCCAAGATGCTATGAGATCATTATCAAAAGAGGTATATACAAAGTTTTGAGGAAGGCCAGGCGCAGCAGCTCACACCTGTAACCCCAGCACTTTGGCAGGACAAGGCAGGCGGATCACCCGAGGTCAGGAATTTGAGACAAGCCTGGCCAATATGGCAAAACCCTGTCTCTACTAAAAATACAAAATTAGTTGGGTGTGGTGGTACCTGCCTGGGAGGCTAAGGCAGGAGAATTGGTTGAATCCAGGAAGTGGAGGTTGCAGTGAACCAAGATTGTGCCACTACACCCCAGCTTACGTGACAGCAAGACTGTCTCAAAAAAGTATTGAGGAGGTGTGAAGAACAGAGTGACCAACTATAGTTAGGAGGGCTAGGGGAGGCTTCCTAGAGGAGCTGACATATGATCTTGGCCTCGGCGACCAAGGTAGGAGGAGAAGGGCAGCAGCCAGCCAGGGGACTGAGAGGCAGCCAGGGCACACCATGGTTGACCTCCCATGGTAAGGGAGTGTCCTGTGTGTTGGCAGAGTGGCTGCGGTCTGATTGTGCAGGGCCATGCCCAGGAGTTTGAACTTGAGCCTGTAATCACCAGGAAGCCATCCAAGGCTTTTCAAGAGGGAGAGATGTGATGGAAGCTGATGTTAAAAGAATGAATGTTGGTCTGAAGGATAAAAAAGATAAGAGAGCAGGTGGCCAGCTGAGACTCAGTCACAGGAACCTTGGCAAAGACGGGTGAAGTGGTGGCTGGGGGCATCGGGCCCTAAGTCTGCAGCTGAAGATATGGGTCAAATTCATTCATGTCAGGGCACTGATGGGATGGGATAAAAGGTGTTGGAGAATTACTACATATAGGGAAGAAAGCAGAGGAAGGTGTTGAGGCTCACTACTCTTAGCTTGGGGCCAATGTGCAAAGCTACCTCATTACCCAAAACAGGGCACAAGCTGAGGAAGAACTTTGGAGAAGGAAGACAATACATTCAGCTGTACACCTGTGAAGCCCACAGGACATCCTGGGATGCTCCAGGTAAGATGCTGGAAACAGAGCTCCAGAGCTGAAGGGAGGGGCCGGCCTGGGGGGGAGCCTAGACCCTGAGTCTTCCCAGGTTAGAGAATTGAAATCTGCCCTTCCTGGGATGCAACAAAGAAATGATGACTCAAGGTACTGAGGCATTTAGGCTGAACCTGAAGCCATGACACGTCGTATGTTTTCTATTTTCTGTATTCTGATGCTTTCCTATCTGGGGCCTTGCAGACCCTGGAGGGACTGTCCCTCCTCCTAGACAATTTCTAGAGATGGTAAAACAACTTGCCCGGAGTACACTCTTCAAATATAAACGAACTAATCCTGAACCCACACCCTGAACACCTCCTTTACTGGCTCTGACACTCCAGGCCACCATCCACCTGCCCTAATCACCTCAGAGCCAGGTACCAGATGACTAAGGCAACCCCTATGCCCCGGGGCCACTGAGATTATTCAGATGAACCTGTCTTGACCTGCTTACCAGGCCTAGCCCAGTCCTCCCCTCCTGCCCACAGTCCCTCCCTCTCCCTGCCTTGTGACCACCCCTGGTGCTTCCCTATGTAGTTCCTGAAGGTGTGGATCCACCTGATGTTCTATTCCTGCGTAACGGTAAAATGTTTTTTAAATGACTTCCTTTTTCAAACAAGGATCTAAGATCACTGTCTATGCTATCATAGTAAATTAAGCAAAAGTCAAGCAGTTCCCTTCTTCCTAATTCCCATATGCAACTTGATTCTAGAGAAGTACAGGACTGTCATCTTAGGATTCCTGTTCTCCAGAATTTCTGCATCCCAACACCCCATAGCCGCCCCCCCTAAACTCTCCAAGTCCTCAAGAAAGCCTTACCTATTTAAGAAATGCTCTCTGCTTCATGGAGACTTACCCTTAAAAATTGGTGCTCCTAAAGTCACAGTTTGGATACAGTAAAAATGATGGCATAAGGAAAAGAAGCACTATCTTTTCCACTTAATTTTCCAAGAAAGTATGAAGATACCTAAGCAGAGAGGGAAAAATTCCAGTATCAATGTGGCTGATGGGAGACTAAATAAAGAAACACAATTCCCCTAGCCTGTTAAAATAGCAAGGCAAAGAGCTGTCTCATTCCGTGCATAGCACAAAACAGATCAATGCAAATCAATGTGATACTCCCGACAGGCAACCTCCACATGTGGCCTTTTCTTATAAAATACCATCCCATCCTTACCCTCTATATTTTAAAATTCCGTGGTCAGTGAAAAATTCTCCACTGTGATGAAGCCTACCTAATTCATCTCATGCCACTGCTTTTTAAAAATATTTTATCAAGGCCATACTAATTTGTGTGCTGTTAGACATACATGGCCTGTTTATTTGGTGATACAAAGGCTACAGACTTCATCCTGCTTTTTAAGAAAGGCTACTGTGATTGGGCTTAAATATCTTTATGTCAAAATGATGTTACTGCCAAAATTCCTGTGCAAAGTAATCACAGTGCTTTTGAGAATATAGTACTTACAAACAGCAAGTAACTGGAATTTACTGGGGATCTTGCTTGAATGGGAACTCTACAGTATATAGGCAATAATCAAAGATTTTAAAAGGGAATTTTGAAATACAATAATTCAGCCTTCCCCTATTATTAGTACTTCATAAAAAAGGAAAGCTTAGCTCAATTTTTTTTTTTTTTTTTTTTTTTTTTGAGACAGTCTTGCTCTGTCACCAGGCTGGAGTACAGTGGCGCAATCTTGGCTGACTGCAACCTCTGCCTCCTGGGTTCAGGCAATTCTTCCGCCTCAGCCTCCTGAGTAGCTGGGACCACAGGCGCATGCCATCACACCTGGCTAATTTTTTTGTATTTTTAGTAGAGACGGAGTTTCACCATGTTGGCCAGGATGGTCTCGATCTCTTGACCTTGTGATCTGCCCGCCTAGGTCTCCCAAAGTGCTGGGATTACAGGTGTGAGCCATCACACCTGGCCAGCTCAACAATTTTCAAACCACTCCCCCACTGGCCTTTTTTTTTTTTTTTTTTTTTTTTTTTTTGCTACTTCTGTAACACATGATCAGCCAAAATCAGAATGAACTTCCTTTTTCCGTTTCAGAACTCCTACCACTCCCCAAATCATGGAGCACAGACAGTTACAAAACTACTGCAGGAGAAGTGCAACTGTCAGGAATTAAGAATGACACATTCGCATTTCCTGTATATGCAAGGGTCAGTCCATTAAGAAACCACGTTAGAATGTGGGCTGCATTCCAGTAATGCCTCAAGGTAAAACATTCTCATATGATGACCTGTGGAATTTTCTTGGTCTTTTACACAAACATCAGTAGATAAACTGGGTTATCTGGCAGGTTATCCCAGAGTCTTCAGTTTGGTAGAGGAGGGTGTTGCTCTAATGCTCTTTAGAAGGAGAAAGAAAAGCATTCTGCAGGATCCCTACAAATGAAATGCAACTGGCAAGCTGCCATCTGTCCAGAGAAGCTCTCACACTCCCTGGGAATTGGAATATTGGGTCTCAACCTGATCTGGATGGAGTAACTGAACAGAGATAGGAATTCACAAATAAAAGTTTTAAAAGATTATGCATTCTACTTGCTTCCTACCTTGCCCACCAGAAGTATATTTTTTGCCCTGTATTTTGACTCCTGATGTCAAGGCTCAGGACCCCTGAAATATCTAGGGTTCAATTAGGCTGTGATGAAGATCTAAAGGAGGACTCTCTAATCAGCTCCAGCTCCTCTCCACTGTCTAGGAAATAGGAAGCTGGCATTGGGAGAAGCAAGACAAGCCACTGTCTTTAGACTGAACTGTGCCAGAGATAATATGTTTATGAGAACCTCTTTAAATCTCAGAAATCTGATAGGCAAGGTGTGTAATCCCAACACTCTGGGAGGCTGAGGTGGGAGGATCACCTGAATCAGGAGTTCGACACCAGCCTGACCAACATGATAAAACCCCATCTCTACTAAAAGTACAAAAATCAGGTGGGAATGGTGGTGCATGCCTGTAGTCCCAGCTACTTGGGTGGGCTGAGGCAGGAGAATCACTGGAACTCCTGGGAGGTAGAGGATGCAGTGGGCCAAGATCATGCCAGTGTGCTTCAGCCTGGGTGAAAGAGTGAGACTCTCTCTCAAAAAAAAAAAAAAAAAAAAAAAAAAAAAAAAACCCAAAACAAAAAACCTCAAAAATCTGCTTCATACCAACAAACCAGCCAGAAAACGATTCCTGAAAGTGACACTAAAAATATTTACTGACTCCATAAACTAGGTGTTGGATAAGACACAAGTTAACTGCAAATAGGCACAAGGTTTCTTTTTGGGGTGAAGAAAACGTTCTAAAATTAGATTGTGGTGATGGCTGTATAAACACACCTCTGTAAATACGTTAATTATTGCAAGGGAGAGTTTTATGGTATGGAAATTATACATCAATAAAGCTTTTACAAATATATCTGTCACAATCTGTAGCCTTGAAGAAGTCAGATTTTTTCAGAACAACCCAGGCAAATCTGCTACTAGATGAATGTTCACCTCATCTTAAATGCAGATATTCCTAAAAATCAACTGGAGATATTCAAAGCATGGAAATTACTCACATTTCTATCTGATAATCAGCAAAGATAAAAAGCTGCTCAGCTCCTGTTTCTCCCTGCAAGGTGAGGTGCAGAAGGGGAGGTATTTCACCCTGTTCCTGTAACCTCTCAATGAAATGCTGGTGGAGACCTCAACCACCAAATCACTGAGACAAGTTATAAGAGAAAGTCATGGGCTGGGCGTAGTGGCTCATGCTTGTAATCCCAGCACTTTGGGAGGCCGAGGCGGGTGGATTACCTGAGGTCAGAAGTTCAAGACCAACCTGGCCAACACGGTGAAACCTCGTCTCTAAAAAAAATAATAATAATAAAAAAAATTTAAAAAATTTAAAAAAAAGTTAAATTAAAAAAAGTAAATCGTGTTCTGTTCTTTTTTTTTTTTTTTTTTTTTTTTTTTGAGATGGAGTTTCACTCTTGTTACCCAGGCTGGAGTGCAGTGGCTCGATCTCGGCTCACCGCAATCTCTGCCTCCTGGGTTCAAGCAATTCTCCTGCCTCAGCCTCCTGAGTAGTTGGATCTGCAGGCACACGCCACCATGCCCAGCTAATTTTTGTATTTTTAGGAGAGACGCAGTTTCACCTTGTGGACCAGGATGGTCTCTTGACCTTGTAATCCACCTGCCTCAGCCTCCCAAAGTGCTGGGATTACAGGCATGAGCCACCACGCCCAGCCAAATCATGTTCTTAAAACAAAGCCAGGTGTGGTGGCTCATGCCTATAATCCCAGCACTTTGGGAGGTCAAGATTGGGGGATCACCTGAGGTCGGGAGTTTGAGACCAGCCTGACCAACATGGATAAACCCCGTCTCTGCTAAAAATACAATATTAGCCAGGCGTGATGGTGCATGCCTGTAATCCCAGCTACCTGGGAGGCTGAGGCAGGAGAATCACTTGAACCTGTGAGGCAGAGGTTGCGGTGAGCGGAGATTGTGCCACTGCACTCCAGCCTGGGCAACAAGAGCAAAAGTCCAACTCAAGAAAAAAAAAACACCACACAAAAAAAATCAAAAACCTATTCCTTATTCTCTGTCTCTCCCCATGGGAGAATAGCATATATAGAAATTTTTAAAAATGAGAAATGGAAAAGCTTGGCATTCATTTAAAAAGGCCAATCAGATAACAGTCATCTATGGTTTCTTCTTTATAAAGAAAGCATTGCAGCAGCAGTAGTTTTACACATGGTCAAAAGCAGGTCGTTAAATGACAAGTCTCTGATTTGACCAATAAAGGACAGAGGTAAACCAGTTAAAGAAGAGCTTGGAATGTCTTTTTAAAAACCACCATAAGATCTAGATCAGCCACCTAAGAGTAGGGTGATTATTCTGGTGTATCTGGGAGCCTTCTGGTGGGTACCCATCATCCCAGCATGATGACTGACAGCCTTCCCATCACTCTCAATCCTCTCCTGATTTGAATAGTAAGTGATAGTTTCATCCGACCTGAGGGTGGGAGGGACTGACAGCAGGCGGCATGGACAGTTTTGCCTTTGTGCCACAGAGTAGTTATTGACCACAGAGCAGACCTAAGGCCTCACTGGCCAGGGAGCCCACCCTTAGAGGCATAGGCTGGAACTGAGCCATCAGAAAGTCCAGCGTACACATGGTAGACTCATCTAGGTGACTTCTTTCATTTTTTAATGACTCATGCCTGGTCTCTTCCCTGAGAAATTCTACCTTACATGCCTGATTAAGAAAACCTGACCTTGGCCAGGCACAGTGGCTCATATCTAAAATCCCAGCACTTTGGGAGGCCGAGACAGGTGGATCACTTGAAGTTAGGAGTTCGAGACCAGTCCAGCCAACATGGTGAAATCCTGTCTACCAAAAAATAGAAAAAAATTAGCCAGGTGTCATGGTGTGTGTATGTAGTCCAAGCTACTCAGGAGGCTGAGGCAGGAGAATCACTTGAACCATGGAGGCGGAGGTTGCAATGAGCCAAGATAGCAACACTGCACTCCAGCCTGGATGACAGAACGAGACCCTTTGTCAAAAAAAAAAAAAAAGAAAAAAAAAAGAAAAGAAAAGAAACACCTGATCTCTATGGTGACCTGCTTAAGTTACCTTGGCTGGAGGTGAAAGCCAGTGCAATAGCCCCAGACTTCCAATGTCCAATGCCTGCTGGGACCCCAAGTCTCAGGCCCCTTCCTGGCCAGCTACCATCATTGGTCCCTCCAAATCTCCCATTTCCAATACATTGTCATCCACTCAAAAATGGGACCTTCCATGGAGCCTGGCCCGGCCTCCACATGGGTTAGTTTTTGTTTTGTGTTCACGGATGTAAGCTGTGAGTGCTTAAGGGGTGAAGGTAGGGAACATAGGCAGCAAGAGCACAGACTTCAAATCTATGTGTGCTTTCCTCTAAAGTCACACAAGAGATCATTTCCCCCTTGCAGCTGCACTAAAACATGGTAATTTCCAAGAAATGTCTTGCTAGGATGAAACTTTCCTATTTAGAGAACATTCCTTTATTTAGAATTGAGAATTATATTGCAATGCTGTCATCCATTTCATGAGGCTTTTTTTTTAAACCTGTTTCAAAATAAAATGATTCCGATAGCTAGGTTCAATCCGTAAGGAGGCTCCCTCAGGATCTAGATGTCCGCAGCTATGTATCACTGCTTACCTAAGGCTTTGAGGCTGCTTGTTCATTTGGGTTCAATATGCTGTCGAGAGAGAGGCTGATAACATTTTTTTCAAGCTGGTATAAATGTGGTCTTTCTGTGGCAGTACAAGCAGCAGCTCGTGGGAAAACAATGATAAAGCTGGCTCAGTGCCAGGAAGGTTTCTTGTACAAATGGATATTTTAACCCTTACCTCTATCTTGCCTATTCGACAGCATGTGGCTAAGGCAAAACAATAGATTCATGTCTCTCTTGGCTCTGGAAAGTTTGTGCCAATGCAAAGTATATTGAATTTTTGTTTCCTTTGTTCCATATCCTGCTGATTCTCTAATATCCTCTTGAGCTTTAAGAACTTAGTGAGTATAAAACAAACAAAAAAAGAAGAAAAAGAAAATATATAATATCCCTTTATCCATCCTCACCCAGGTGTATCTGAAAGAAAGGGACCAATGTGTATAGTTTCAAAGAAATTCAAAAAAACAATAAAATTTCTGCTGTTTGATATGTTCAAATGGGATATTCTGGTTAATATTAGATCAGTACAAAAGTAAGTGAGCAATTACTTTTGCACCAACCTAATACTCAATTACTCTGTAATCCTATTTTAATATTTAAGAAGCACCTCAAGATTCACAATGTCTGTTAGTGATAAATTGAGCTATGCACATGATAGTTAAATAGTAGTCTGAATAAAAGAGCATTAGATAAGAGTTTCCCTTGGGTGTCAGTGATATTTTCCAGCAAGGATAGATTAGGAATGTTCTCTGTAACGAGTTGCTCAGTTTGGAGAAAGGGGGCACTGAGTTGAGTGCCCCCTACTTCTACTGCAGCAGCTAATGAATGAGGATGCCACTGGGAACTCTTGCTTTGCAGGGAGCACACCAAAGGCAGGGAAGCTGCCATGTCAGGGACGAGCCAAGGACACCTGTCATACTGCCCTGGAAGGCAGCTGGACAGCAAGTTTCCTCAGAGGAGATGACAGGTCACAATTCCTAAACTGCACACTTTCCAATCTCCCTAAAAAAAAGCTTAGAGTCATACATAATTTTTTCATTAAAAAATTCCATGTGACCAGCTAGGAAGAAAAGTCAAGTTTGCTGCATAGATAGGAGTATTCTGCTAGAGAAATCATGTTGCTGACATCACCCAGAT